CTAGACTCCCTGGAACCACAGCTTCAAATCCTCTGTGGGACCACAGTTTCCAATCCTATCAGGATCGCCTCAACTCTTCATCCTTCAGAGACTGATAAATTGAAGGGCATGAAGTTTAAAGCAAAGAGAGGGAGTTGCACGGCTAGACCCTAAACAGGAGGACTGAATTTGGACCTCATACTAGGAGCCTTTTAAGATAATGTGTCCTAGTGTCCTTCCTTGGTCAGGCTTGAGGATGCAACTTGAGAAACATGAAATTCAGTGACAGGCCATCCTTTTAATGTATTTTAGCCAGTCAAAAGTTTTAGGCACTAAATTTTAGGTAGTCACTAAAGTGGTGAAAAATGAATTTTCAAAGATATTTTTGATCAGCAAAGGAAGAGTACTGGACCTCATTTTACTAAACTATAAAAAGAGAGGATCAGACTAGATGGCTTCTGAGTCCCCTGCCAGTGCTCCAAATTGATGATCTATCATCCCATCATGACAAAGTGAGAATGAGAAACAACAGGTGGGCAGCCTAAGATACAGTAAACTGTTAGCCCAATATAGTGAAAGAACGGGAGGAAGGAAGACCTCCAGCAAAGGATCTGTAAAAAGTATTACAAAAACTACACAGCATAAAGTATGAAAAAGTCAAGATCTACATTGGCACAGGGAATACCCACACTGATAAAATCCTAGATCTATCAAATACTCTAGGACAGGCATAGATAGTTACTGAGGCACTTCCATTCTTCCATTTAATATACTCAAGGACATTCTAAGTGATTATACTGAGGGTAAAACATAGCCATTTCTTGTTTTCCATGAATTTAAAACCCCCAATTGATTTCCTCTTTCTATCAAGTAAGCTTCTGGGCTGCTTCCCCACCCCACCCAAACCCCATCTGTTAGTGGGAATATAACAACTATCAAATAACCACACAGTTAAATATTTGGATTATGAGATCTGGATTAGGGTATCTGCAGCAGTTCTGACACTTGCTATGTGTGGAAAGGGGGAAGGGCATTTATATAGTGTCTACTATGTGTCAGGCACTGTGCTAAGTGCTTTTTACAAATATTCTCTCAGTTGATCCTCACAACAACGCTGCAAGGTAGGCGCTATTATTATCCCCATTTGGGGGATACTGAGGCAGAGAGATTTTAGTGACTTGTCCAGGGTTACACAGCACATGTCTGAGACCAAATTTGTACTCAGGTCTTCTTGACTCCAAAGTGCCCCCAGCTTCCTGTGACTTAAAAATTTACTAAGTCCATTCCTCACATTCCTCCATGAGCTAGGTAGTATGACTATTATTATCCCTCAATAAAGATAATGAAACCAAGTCTCGGGGAATTAAGTTCTATATAAATGTGAGGTGTTATAATTAATTAATGAGTGTTGAATAAAATTTGATGTGTTTTTCTGTTTTGTTTTAATTTGCAGCTAACCTTCCTTCAGCACTGTGGTCATTTCAGGGATTGCAAAAGTAAATTTATTGCCCAAGTTCAAACATACTCCAAGAAAAATCAAACTCCACAAGAATTAAGTTTGCACTCTTGACACACTACATTGGAACATATAGAAAGGATTTTTGAGAAAGTTAGGGTGAAGTAGAAAATTGGCAATGGGACCAGAGTCATATTTCTGTAGCTTAGATCCTTCTTCCTCCCAGGGCAAAACATATACAGAGTTTCTTATGCCTGTACAATACCTCCCATTGTCAAGTTATTTTCTTCATATGCCTGGAAAAACTAGACAGAAGCTTGCAAAGGGTTATTTTAGACATAACTTTAAACAATTCATTCAAGCCTTTCCTTTCTTCACAAAGCAGATAGTGGATGTGAAAGAGATTTAGCTGTGGTATCTATCACTCTACTGATCACCAGGATTGATTAAACTGATTTAGCAGGCTAGACAGTCTTCTTTTCTTACTTAAAGCTCCCTGTGCATTCACCCTCCCAACTCACAAGTTTGCTGTTCTGACAGAGTATGACTTTTCACATGGAGTTGTACATTTCTTAAACACCCAAGCTCTCAAATTCATCACAGAAACAATAACTGGGATGAACTACTGAGACACCCTGGAAACCTCATTCAAAGTGAATCTAGTTGTAAGAAACCACATTTCACCTGTGCACAGTAACCATTGGAGGTTTCTGCTTCCAGTAACCACAGGGGTAAAGCACAATTACCATTTTACCTAAGGCTACAATAACACTTTCACTGATGGCAAGTCATGGTTTGCAATGTATCTTGAGGTAATAATACTTAGATGGATCTAAGATTCCATTGGTATGAGTTATCTCAAGATCAAATATTAAGTATCCACTATGTGGAAGGCACTGTGCCTCAATACCTTGTGTGGAAGGGTGCCAAGGACACATTTCTAAGAATACATAGAACTAAAGCACAGATTTAACCAGGCCACTAACCTGTTCAAAAATCTTCGGTAGGTCCTTTTTTAGTGTAGGACAGAATACAAAATCCTCAGCTTAGTATTTAAAGCCATTCACAATATAGCTCCAAACAGCTTTTTCAGGCTCATTTCATACATAATACTTGCCACCATGCACTCTCAGTTACAAGCAAACCAGCCACCTTTCTCCTTATAAAATATTGCATCTCCTGTCTCCAGCATTAGTGATTTTACCTTAGCTATTTTCTGTTACTGGAATTTACTCCTTCCTCATCTCTACCTTACAGAATTTGAAGTTGACTCAAGTGTCATTTCCCATTCCTTTACTCCTTCACTCACCTAATGCTCAAAAGCAAGGGTTCTTAACTTGGGGAGGTGAATTAGATAGATAAATAGATAGATGATAGATGAATAGATGGATGGATGAATGGATGGATAGATGGATGGATGGATGGATGGATGGATGGCTGGATGGATGGATGGATGGGTGGGTGGGTGGATGGATGGGGAGACATGAAAGATAAATAGATGAATAGATAGGTTGGATAGATGGGTAGATAGGTAGATGATAAATGAATAGATAAGTAGATAGATAGAAGGATAGGTAGATGATAAATGAATAGATAAGTAGATAGATAGAAGGATAGATAGATAGAGATGGATATAGATAGAAGACAGACAATTGAATTTCAATGAACAGCCATACCTTGGAGATATTGCAGGTTCAGTTCCAGGCTACCACAATAAAATTAATATTGCAAAAAAATGAGTCACATGAAGTTTCTCAGTGCACATAAAAGTTATGTTTATACTATACTATACTATATATACTATAGTTTGTTAAGTGTGCAATAATATTATGTCTAAAAATATACATAACTTAACTAAATACTTTATGGCTAAAAAATGCTAACCATCACCTGAGCCTTCAGTGAATCATAATTTTTTTGCTGGTGAAGGGTTTGGCCTCCATGTTGATGGCTGTTGACTGATCAGGGTGGTGGGTGCTGAAGGTTGGGTTGGGCAGTGGCAATTTCTTAAAATAAGACAGCAGTGAAGTTTGCCCCATCAATTGATCTTTCCTTTCACTTGAATTCTTGGAGACATAGGCTGTTCATCGGCCCAATTTCAATATCGTTGTGTCTCAGGGAATAGAGAGACCCAAGGCAAAGGAGAGGGGGGAACAGTGGGTTTGGTGGAGCAATTTGAATACATATAACATTTATCAAGTAAGTTCACTGTCTAATATGGGTTCCTGCTTCCCCAAAACAATTACAACTGTAACATTAAAGGTCATCAATCACAGATCACCATAACAGATATAATAAAAATGAAAATGTTTTAAATATTGCAAGAATTATCAGAATATGACACAAGAGACATGATGTGAGCACATGCTGTTGGAAAAAATGGCTCCAATAGACTTGCTGGAGGCTGAGTGGCCACAGACCTTCAATTTGTAAAAAAAGTAACGTCTGTGAAATGCAATAAAGCAAAGCACAATAAAATGAGGTATGCCTGTAATTGCTTTCCTTTTTAATCTCATGCATTTTATTTTATGCATTTAAAAACATTATTGAGAATTCTGAGAAAGGGCCCATGGCCTTACCAGACTGTCCAAGGGATTCACGCCACAAAAATAATTTAAGAACCCCTGCAGAGTTTTGGTCTTGGGAGTCAACAACAACACGTTTTAGGTGCTTACTAAATGCTAGGTCTTGTACCGGCAATACAAATATTGGCAAAAAGAAATACAATCCCTGGAAGACAACATGTAGAAGGAGTCAAGAAGACTTGTTTTCTCATCTTGCCTGAAACATTAACCATGTATCCAGGGCAAGCCTTTTAACTTGCCTCCTTTTCTCAGTTGTTCAACTAAGTTTTATTATTTATTATTATTCTATTACTTCTAAAGTCCCTTCCAACCCTAAATCTATGCTACATTATATTTACTTATCCTTGTATACATTTCATCTTGTGATAAAATTGGAACGTAAGCACGTGGAAAGCAGGAGCTGGGTTTTTTGGGTTTTTTTTCCCTTCTTTTTTGTACCCCAGCTCCTGCCACTAAGCTGAGGGATGGTGGTGAAACTGTTGAACCTCACACAGGTAGGTGAAACACCCCCGGGGGTCCCGCGGAGGCCGGGCAGCGCCGCAGACAACGCCCCCGGGACCTGGAGGGCGAGGCCTCCCTCTCACGCGGGCCACGTGTTAATGACTCCACTTTAGAACATGGCTCTTTATTCACCACTTGGTGCAGCTTTTTTGGTTCGCATGCCCAAACAGAGTCTCTACCAAGCTCACTTTGCCCAAAGTCTACACCAAAGGCATAAAAAAAAAAAAAGAAAAGAAAAAGAGACCCCACAGCGTCACCCACCCAGGCCCAACCGAAGCTCTTCCACGCCTCCCCAACCCTCAGTTAGGCGGCAGTCCTATTTCTCGCGAGATTTCACCACACCCGAGAGGCTGAACTTCTCTCGGAAGCCAATTGGTCAAAGGTGACTTGGTGGGCTGAGTCAAGAGTCCGCGGGGAGGGAGGGAAGAGGAGTGGGAGCCCGCCCGGAGAGGGCGGGGGAGGGGAGGGAGAAAGAGGAAGAACTGGTAGGCCACGCCCCCTCTCTTCTATCTACTGCGGAGAAGGGTGTCCCCAAACTCCCAGGTTCCAATCCCCGTCCCCCTGGACCCTCCCGGGTCAGGATTCGAGCTCGTGAGTGCCTGCTCGCACGCGCCCGTCCGCGAGAAGAAGGATCACTATGGGCTTGGCTTCGGTGTGCTGGCCCGGGTTCCTGCAATCCTTCCTGCTACTGCTGCTGGCAGGGCGCAGCTTGGGCAGCTCCGGCCTGCTGCCCCTTGTCATCAACACTTGGCCTTTTAGGGGTGCAACCGTGGCAGGTGCGGGCCGGGGGTGGGGTGGGGTGGGCGGCATTGAACTGGACTCCCCCGGAGACCTCGTTCCTTTTTGTCTCTTAGCTGGGGGGGAGATGCTGCACGGGGAGGGGGGACGGGAGGGAGACACTTGCTGGAGCCTCACCTGGTGCACCCTTTAGAGGCATCTCTTTGCGCCTTAGGGGCCAGGGATAGGAAAGGGAAGTCCGGGATGGAGAGCGCTGCTAACGGGGAAGAAAACACACATTCTCCACGGAGACCCCAGAGGCCGTTCAGCCCAACCCCGTCATTTTACGGATAGGAAACTGAGGCAGGCTTGTAGAGGTTTCCGCGATTTATTGCAATTCTTATGACTCCAAATCCCAGGAGGTTAGGGATAAAGTAAGCAAGCCAGGGATGGGAGCTGCTGCAATTTGGAGAGAGAACATATTAACCCTGACCTAGTTAGGAGTAACCCCAGAGAGAATCCAGCTCAGCTCCCCCATTTTGCAGATACGAAACTGAGGCTGAGAGAAGTGTTAAGTGATTTAATGAAAGTCACAGAGGGTAAGAAGCTAACCCTGCAAATCCTTTTGCTGTCTCTCCCCCACCCCAATTCAGCAATCTTTGAATTGTATGGGAGCTACTGGTGCAATTTGAGACCAAGAGCATATTAGCAACATTGACCTAGAAGTCAGAAGGGACCCCCACAGCACAACCAGCCTATACCCATCATTTTACAGGTAGGAGTCTGAAGTCCAGAGACTTTGACTTGGGAAGACCGAGAGTACAGAGCAAGAGCTGCAAATCCTTGGACTCCAAATTCAGCTCTTTTCCCACTGGGGTACGTGCTCTTGAGATTTTGTTAATCCCTGATCAACTGACTCAAGAGGCCAGCACAAGGCCTTGCATTGCTGGCTTGTCTCTCCCCACTAGGTCTTGCCCTGCTTGGGTTGTATCTCTAATTCTTTATCTCCTGAGAAGTTGAAGTAACTTGAGGGGCATAGAAATAAATCATTGATTTAGGCAAGAGAGGAGAAGAACCTTTGGACTCAAAGTAGAAATGAGTTCTTTGGGTTGAAGTCAGCATCAGTTTTATAAAAAAGAAATATTAATGTGCTTTGAAGTTTTCCTGAAGCGTTCCAAGGTACTGGCTTTGGTAAAAGCCTTTTTAGCAAACATCTCTCCAGTAAAGGCCTCCTTGATCCTTATGGTAGTGGGCAGCTATGACCCTAGGTTCTTAAGGTCCCTGGTGGCTGCTCTCCAGTCCTTCGAAGTACTCCCAAGCTGGGATGAAAGGCCAGACAATAAACTTCCTATCCTTCAAGGGCCTGCCTCCTTAAAATTCCATATGCGCTGGTTTGTAGATGATGGGTGCTCTTGTTTCATTTGGTTTTGTTTGTAGCCCCAGCTACTTTTGAAAAATACTACAAAATGTGGGACCGAGGTTATGATCTGTGCAGGTTGCTGCACACATGAAATCACAGATTATTGAAATGGGTAGAGTACATGTAATTTGGTATGTGCAGTAGTGGTGTTTGAAATCCAGTATTCACCAAGAATGTTATCTAGCCTCCCAAATATTTCATTTTTACTAGTAAAGGCATGGAGTCAGCTGAGGATTTGTGATTTAAGAAAAGGTTAGAGCTAGTTGGAGGAGGATTGGAATCATACAACTCATGGGCTTTGACATTTCAAGCTATTCCTTTAGTATTCTGTTCCAAGCTTTATTTCTGAACCTGGAATCTAATATGTATATATATTTGGCTATAGGATAGCCCTTTTTGTTCAACCTTAGGGGACTTACTGTAGGTTTTGCTTTAATAAAGGTAGTATATTCTATTCAAAGATGCATTTCATCTTAAGTTAGGAAATACACAATTGTAAATTCTCTTTCTATATGCTTTGTTTTATACTTCTATTATAATAGAAATCCACTGGGCCATAATTTTAATAGTTCTCCATCTAAACTACTTTTGTGTAGCTAGTCTCAGTTTTCTCTTTAAAAAAACAAGAGGAAAGTATCTTAACTTTCCTCACTTTCTTCTTTTCCACAGTCCCTGATCTCAGGACAGTGTGTATATCACTAGGAAGAACCGGAAGAGGAAGTAGACAATTAGATTTTTGGATTGACAGTTAGTCTTTGATAAGCCTACTATGTGCAAGAAACCATGCTAGATGCTGGGGATACAAAGTATGAAATGGTCCTTGCTCATAGGTTTCCGCAGTGACTTCTAAAAAGCATCCATGTGACATCATCAAACAGCAAGGATTTAATAAGGACTTACTTATGTGGCAGGGACGAGGCTTAGCACTGAGGATGCATAAAAAAGACAAAAACAGTCTTTGTTCTCATGAGAGAAATGAGATGTACCTACAGGACAAATATGGAGTATATGGAAAGTAATCTTAAGAGGGAAAAGACCTCTTCAGAATGCAGCATTTGATTCTAGTCCTGAAAGGCAGGGATCCTAAGAGATAGAGGTGGGATTGGAGAGCATTCTAGGAATAAAGATACAGACAGTGCAAAGGCCCAGGGATGCAAGGTGAAGTATCCTTTGTGAGGAAGACCATGTTAAGGGGGGAAAACTGGAAAGATTTGGAGGAGCCAGGTTTTAATGAACTTTTAGTGCCAAATATAAAAGCCAAATGTTTTATCTCGGAAGTAATAGTTTTAGGAAAATCATTTTGGCTGCTGGGTGAAGGATGGATTGGAGTAGATAGAGACTTGAGGCAAACAAACAAACAATCAAGGAGGCTATCTCAATTGTTCCAATAAACTACAGTGGTGGCTCTGTGAGTAGAGGAGAAATGTAAAAGAAATTGTGAATATAGGAATGACAAGATTTGGCACCAGTTCTTACAGAGTTAGGAGTCTGTTGAAAAACTCAGTAGTAGCATTTTGATGAATTTCTCAGAAGTTCCAGACATTTGATTCGTGCATGTAGCAACACTTAAATCATTGTGTTTTGTTTCACAGCATGGCAAAACCTACAGGCTGGAGGGTCTGCTTTAGATGCAGTTGAAGAGGGGTGTGCTTGGTGTGAGACAAATCAGTGCGATGGCAGTGTAGGCTTTGGTGGAAGTCCTGATGAATATGGAGAAACGACATTAGATTCCATGATTATGGATGGGTAAGTACACCAGTCAAAGTGGTCCTTTATGGGAAAGCTTGACATTGATAACTATATTGAAATATATTGAAGTTTGTGTATGCTCTTCTGCTTTGAAAACACAGATAGAAAGAGAAGGAAGACATGACCTTTTAGAGAAGAAATATAAAACCAGAATGGGTCCTCTGGTGATTGGTGATCACTCATGGCTCCTCCAGCTCTAGAAATCTATAACCTAATAATCTGTTGTTCACCACCCTTAGCTTTTCCAGATATCATTCAATCACTGTGCCTTGTTAATGGTGATTATCCCATGGAAATAAACCATTTTGTTTGAATCTGGGAGCAGAAAGTATCCAAGACTACTTAGAAGTGGCTTTGCACTCCTAATTGTCTCCACCTCCCTTCTTAAATATTTCAACCTTCTGGTCTTAGCAGCTTCTTACTGATAGCTTCCAACTTTCTTTTAAAATATTTTATTGATGACTTTTCTTTTTTTTTTCATCCTTGTTGCTTCCTGGTGATTGTCCCCTATCCCTTCTCCTCCTCCCTCATAGAACCCTTCCTTCTAACAAATAAATGCAGTCAAGCAAGTCAACATATTGACCACTGGCTCTGAAGTCAAAGGTCTTGGGTTCCAGTCTTGCCTCTGCCATCACCTTTGTGACCTTAGGCAAGTCCCTTTACCTGCCTGGGTTTTACTTTCCTTATAAGCAAAATAAAGAGGTTGGATTAGATGACTTCTTAAAATCCCTTCCAGCTCCTGATGTGATATGTGCTTCTAGGTCTGAAAAATATAAGCCTCCTTCTGCATGTCTGTCCACCCCAGGTAGGGTCCTCTGAAGTAACCATTTAGTCCTCTGTGAATCAGAATTCTAGTTTTTCATTGTTCGCTTTCTGTTGTTGTGGTCAGTGCAGTAAACATCTTTAAAAGAAGCTAGGATGGAATAGAATTTGTTATTATTAATTATTACAATGTGATGTCTTTGAGAACAAGGACTATTATGTTTGTCTTTGTATCCCCAATGCTTAGCACAGAGCTTTGTACACAATAAGTGCTTAATAGATAATTTATTCAGTTAGGCTTGTAGGTTTGAGATGGGTCATGTACTAGGGAGAAGGGAGTAGGTTAGAATTAGGGAATAAGAATTATTTCCTATGACTATTAAAGGAAAGAAATGATTTTAAAGTTTGGGGCTTTTAAATGTCTTCCTCAATAGTTGATTTGATTTAGGGGGGAGGGGCACAATTTTTTTCATGAAAACTGAAAATTATCGTCTGAATTAAATTTTGCAAAAACAAAACAAAACTTTAAATGATCCACAATAATAGAAATCCACTTTCCCAGATGAGTTATGTTCATCAGGGAAGCAATCTGAAAAGCTTGGGAAATCTCAGAATAAGTCAGGTTTCACAAAACTTTGTCAGTTGCTTGCCCACAAATTCACCACATGTATTTGTGAACCTTAAGACTGACCTTCTTGTAAATTTTTCTTTAGCAACACCATGAAAGTAGGGGCAGTAGCAGATCTCAGACGAATTAAAAATGCTGTTGGTGTAGCAAGAAAAGTAATGGAACATACAAAACATACACTTTTAGTGGGAGAATCAGGTACTGTGCTTTTAATTCTATTAAAATATTATGAAAAAAATGTATTGCTTAGGAATCAGAACTTTGTCATTTAAATTTATATGATTTGATTTATAATTTAGTCTTTTAAAAAAAAGCAATGACATTCAAAGAAAGCTTTACATAAGTGTAAATGAAATTCATTACCTTTATCACATATTTTTATGCAATTAAGATAGTATACTTTTTTTCCCAAGTTAATAAATGTTACAAAACTGTCTGGTTTAAAAACAGAAGCCTTTGAACACATGGTAGGTGTATTTGTACATTTCCTTGGCTTGGAAACCACAGCAAAAATAGTTAAGATTTATTCTTCCTCATTGCATGAGGATTTTATGTTGATTACACTTTGTTTCTTTTAATTCCCAAAGGTAGCATTCATTATGTCCAAGAACATTAAATGAAAAATGTAGTCAGTACCTTAAACATCATAATTAGATCACAGGTTCCGTAGTTGACTGCCTGCTGTGTAAAGTACTCTTTTACCTTGAGGCTAAAATTATCAGATACTCTTCAAACTACCTAAAATTTCCTTGAGCCTAAAACTACACCTTTAAGCTCCAACAACACACTAATAGAGGAAGAATAAAAAAAAATCAGCAAAACCAACCAATATATCCCCACCAAAAACAAAACAAAAACTTGTTAAAACAATATATGCAATGTTCCTCACTTGTGGACCTCCTACCTTTGCAAAGGAGTTAGGGGGAGCAGTGATTTCACCAGCCACAAATTTAGAAGCCATCAGGTTCCAGCCTGCTAATCCTCAAATCAAAATAAACCCTTACAACTCGGTTTCTCTGTTGCTGCCCCAGGCAGCTGGTAGTTACTAGACAAAGTACTCTGTTTTCACCAACCATCTATTTATCTTATGTTAATAACTTCCTCTGAGCCCCTACTGCTATTTGGTAATCTTTCAGTTCTTGCTCTGATTTTTTTCTGTCTCTACCCCAGAGTGAAGTGGCATAACTCAGAGAGTACTGGTTTAGGAATCAGGAAGATTGTTGTTTAGTCTTTTTTTTTTTTCCAGTTGTGGGTTTTCTTGGCAAAGATATTGGAGTGGTTTGCCATTTCTTTCTCTCCAGCTCATTTTACAGCTGAGGAAACTGAGGCAAACAGGGTTAAGTGACTTGCTCAGGGTCACACACACAGCTAGTAAGTGTCTGAGGCTGGATTTGAACCTACAAAGAAGATGAGTCTTCGTGATTCCACACCAGCCACTCTATCTACTTCAATACCTACCTGCTCAGAAAGACCTTAGTTCAAATTCTGCCTCTGACATTTATTAGCTGTGTGATCCTAGGCAAGTCACTTAGTCTCACTCTCAGTTTCCCCGTCTGTAAAAGGTGGATCAAAGTAGCACCTTCCTAAACAAGGTTGTTGTAATGAGATAATAGAAGGAAAGCCCTTTGCAAATCTTAAGATACTACATAATTATTAACTTTTACTATTATTGTTGTTATTATTTAAATGCTTCTCTTCCTTCAAAACCCAGCATTGAGAGCTTCTCTCTATAAAGTCTTACTTGATCCCGTTCCCCCCTTTCTCCAAGCTAAAAATGATAACCCCTTCCTGTTTTCATTTTCCTCCTTTGCCTCTGTTGTTGTTACTTGAGAAAGGATTGTCATTTTTCCATCTTTATATCCCTACCACTGATAGAGTGCCTTGCATACCAAAAAAAAAAAATAAATAAAGTTTGTTAAATGACAGATACTTTAACAACTGGAAATAAAAGATCAGCTTTTTGTGAACAAAGAAACGCTTCCTGTTTGGTGGTAGGGGTGAGTGGGAAGAGGTCGAAATCAGGAAGGTTTATGTACCTCCTTCCCATCCTTATTATCTTCATGTGCAGGAGAAATTTTTTTCTACATAAATTCATAATTCACTATAATTTCCTCAAAACAAAGGCTTCCTTTATTGTTCCTGTTTTAATATGCAGTTTTACAAATTAAACCTTTGCTGTTTGGGGGAAATATGATTTTTTTTTGCTGTCTTTTATTGAATGTCAGTGTGTTGATTGTTACAGCAATTTTACATATTATAATATAAACACATGTAATATGTAAAGTGTTTTGTAAATTTTAAGATGCTATGTAAGTCCCAGTTATCATCACCTTCATGATTACTATTATTTTGCTTTTATCTTCATCTCTTTAGCTACCCAGTTTGCTGAATGTATGGGATTTCCAAATGAGGAATTATCCACCAACACTTCTCGTTTTCTCCATTTGGAGTGGCTGAGCCATAAATGTCAGCCAAATTTCTGGAAGGTATGTATGTTTTGTCATAAAATACTAATTGTCTGACGTTGTTAGAAGACTTTTGGGATTTAAAATATGAATTATTTGAACAACTTAAAAAATTTTCTATGTCTACATCTGAGAATCATTTGATACTTACCATCAGAGTGTTTTCTGTGCCTGAAAGTGTAGCTAGTTTTATGTGCTTTGAAGTGTGACCGTATCTTGCTGGGGATTGCTACTATCTGATGCTACTGACTTGATTGCTAGTTCATACTGCACATTTATTATATTAGCAGGCTCTTTACCGTTACATTGGTCTAGCTTTGCCACTGAGAATTAGTTTCTCCCCATCCCAGGAAATGCTTACTTCTCCATCTGTCCCTTTGTTCCACCCTCACACCACCACCAGCACCGTTAGACTAACTAGACTGGAATTGTAAGCCTGGCACTTGAAAAATGTGTTCACAATCCATATGTGAGGCATTATAAGTGTCTGTCAGTTTATATGTTTGACATAGATATAGGTAAGCATCAGGTTCTCTGCTGCCTTGAATGATGAAATGTGTACTTTTAACATTGACTTTTAAATGAACTTTCTGTGAGAGAAAATTCTACGAATGTAACCCTCATTTCTAGGTTTTTAGCAGTTTCTAGAACTTTTGTAAGATGTACACACACACATACTCTCTCCTCCCCATACATACACACATTCACATATATAACACACTGTGTTATCTATATATATGAGTGCATGTACATATACATATGCGCACACATATGTATGTTTATATGTCTGTATGTGGATATACATATATAAATATACATACATATACAGGCCTACTAGAATAGTTAAGAGCTGATATGAATAGAAGACCAGTATTAATCAGGAAGACCTGGGTTCAGATGCAACTCTGACAGCCCCTGGGCCCTTAATTTCTTAGTGCCTCAGACAATTGTTTGGCAATTTATAGTCTTGCTCTGCATTGACTGAGAGAATTTTCTCATCTGAAATTCCTTCTCCTGATAAAATCACAGGTCCAGATTGGGGGTAGGGGTAGGGGGGATAAGTTTTAGAAATGACTTTGAAAATAAATTCATGTAAACTTAGTTTAGTAAATGATGAGTTCATTTTTCTTTTTAAAGATCTAGGAACATTATTCTGACCATAGTAAACAATGTAATTCCCAAATTTAATTATGAACTGTGTACCTGATTCTGTTGGGAACTGATGTTTCATTATTGAGAATCTCATAGTTTAGGTGAGAGAGAGTGCTATCTATTCTAAACAACATAATCTAGATATAGTAAGTTAAAATATATGTGTAACCAACTCATTATATATCAGAATAATCATGAAACTATCCACTTAAGTATAATTAGCATTTATATTGTGAGTTAAGGTTTTTCAAAATGCCTTTATATATACTATCTCATTCAGTTCTTACAACTAAGTGATGTAGGTGCTATTATACCCATTTTACAGATGAAGAAACTGAGGCAAACGGGTTAAGAGACTTACTCAGGGTCACACAGCTAATAAGTGTCCCGGGCTCCTAACTGCCCCAATTTCCACCTTACACTGTACCAGATTCCTCTTGTTCTTTTTTTGTGGTTAGCTATGATTATTGTTAGGTTGGGTTTTTTTTTTTTTTAGTAGATGGTTTTGGATAAAGCATACTTACAGAAAAATTGTATTTGAAATGTTATTTACAGAATGTTATACCAGATGCATCAAAATCCTGTGGACCATATAAACCATCTAGAGTCTTAAAACAGCACCTTCACACCTCTGAGAAAATAAATATTCACAGTCATGATACTATTGGTAATTTTCTTTTTATGAATTTTTCAAACTTAAGGAGTTAGAATTTTTAAAATTGCATTTGTTTATCCCTTAACTTATCCATGGCTATTAATGTTCCAGGAGCCTGATTCTTTTGTAACAATTAAAAAAAAAGATACAGTCTAGGAATAAACTTCTCCTATTAACTTCCAAAGAAGAGTGGACCTCTTTCCCTTGGCATCTGCTTGCCATTTGGTGAATTATCTTTTCCAGGACACCTAAGTGGCATCCAGCATGCTTAACAACTAATGAATATTCAAGTGCAAGCTTAAAAATCCATTTTTGATTTTCAGTTCAATTCTTGGTTTCTTTGCACTGCAAAGTCAAATTTGTGTACATTATTTTTTCCCAAGGTTGTGGTTAGAAAATTACCATCAGTTTGCTTTAGTGATTTTCCTTAATGTCACTTTGTAAGCAGGTTTTGAAGGGTGATTACTCATTTTTAGGAGGAAAATAAGGGGTGGTTGTGGCACCCCTGTGGGTGACCAAAAGAGTGAATTATGAAAATGGCCTATTAAAAGCCAAAAGGTCAGGATTTTCTGGTTCATTGACTTTATGTTAAATATTATGAATGGTATTTTCATGATTCCCAAGTTTTCTTCTTCTGTCCTTCTACCTAGCCTGAAAACACCTTGGTGTTCTAGAAGTTTGATTAATTTTATTACCCTCATTTAATTGTATTTCAGAAATCTTTTTGATTTGGTACCTACTGATTGTGTTGTGTTTTGTTTTTTTTTTTTTCAAACTCCTAGGCATGGTTGTAATTGGTAAGACAGGACATATTGCTGCTGGCACATCCACAAATGGTGCGAAGTTCAAAATACCTGGGTTAGTGTTTGATCAATGGAAAATATTTGTTGAGCGCCTGCTATGTGAAGGCTCTATGCTGGGTGCTAAGCAGGGGATAAAAAGAAGCATGAGACATTATCCTTGTCCTTAAGCAGCAACAGATTTAGAATCAGAAGAGACCTCAAGGGTCATCTGATCCAGCTCCCTCATTTTACAGATGAGGAAATGGATCCTAGTGGTTAAGTGACTTACCCCACGTCACAGAATAATTTGTTGTCTGCTCTGCTCTTCGTGTAGAGGCAGCATGACATGGTGGATCAAATGCCATGCTGGATTTGAGCCCTACCTCTGATACATACTAACTGGGTGGTCCTGGGCAGTTATAGGCCAGAGTAGGGAAGAAGGTTCCCATCCTGGGAATTCCCTGGTGAGGTCGCAAGCCTTTAGGGGATTCTGCCTGCACCAGACAGATGTTCAGGGAATTCAGCTCCTCTAGTACTATCTCATGCCTGCTTGTGTGCCAGGTGTGTGATCTGTTTCCTAGATTACAGGCCTATTTTAACCAGGTCCAGCATACTCATGATAATTTGCTTCTGTTTCTTCTTCCATTGAGTCTCACCCCAAAGCTCTCCACTTTGTGTTTTCCCCTCCAGTGCCCGATTTCCCTCATCCAAATCTTGAGATGCAACATTATTTCACCATTTCTGTCCCTTTGGAAGGGGGTATTCTCCTCCATATCAATATTCTGCTCCTGAGACCCACCTCCACCGTGTCTCAGTGATACCTCTTCAGGTGAATTTGCCTCCTTACTTTAGGAACTCTAGCTCACTTGTTTATTTTTGTTATTAATATTATATTATATATATTATATTATTATTATAGTTTCATACATTTGTGTATAAGCATCTGAGACCATCAATTTTTATATTCCTGTTGTTTTTTGTGAAACCAAAGTTCTTCATACTTAGTATTCTCTGTGCCATCCAGCTTGGAAGAGCTATATTGGCAGGTTTGTTTGTCCATCCTCCCTGACCCTCCCATTTGATCAGATTTGTAAGATTTCAGACAATTTCTTTTAAACCAATCCTCTTCAAATGCATTCCATCCCTTTCCAAGAGCTTTACTTTTTTCAAGTGCCTATTATTTGTGTTTTCCAAGTACAGATAGTATGCACTTTATAGGTCCCTACAAAATTCTTCTTATCTCTGGAAGTAAAATTACTCAGTCCCTGTAATTTTTGTTGGTAGCTCTGAGGCAATAGCAAAATGCCTGTTTACTGCCCTAGGGACACTTGAGTGAGGCTTTATAGCATGCTTTTTCTGCCTTTTTTGTGGTATTACACTAGCTAGCCCTGCTGTCTTTGGGGGCATTGGTGATACACACATGGTGAGCCCTACTCATTGCCAGTGCACAAATACACACTTCCCACAACTGTTGTCTACAAGACCTCCTCGAGAAGGTTTCACTTATTAGCCACGTACATCACACTACTTCTTACATCTTTCCTCTTCTTTCTGAACAGACTCCAAATGCCACCTCCCATCTTGTCAGTGAACTTTGTGCAAGTAGAGGAGTTGAAGTGTAATTGTGTTTGACAGCATGTAATAAATACCAGATAAGCATTATTGACATTAAATTGCTGATGGAGTTCAGAGCAAGTAGACCTTACTTGTAGCCAGGGAGTAATGACAGAATGCTACCCTTGATATAGACTTTGAATGATGATTAAGAGTTAGTGGCAAGGACAAGGAAGGATTTTTACAAGAACAGCATGTGCAGAGTCAGGCTGAAATTTATAAGGTTCATTCTTAGGATCCATTGGTAGAACAGAGGGGCTCTGTGAGAACCTGTTGTGCATAAGAGACTATAAGAAGTAAAGCTGGAAAAATAGGTTGGGGTGAGGTTATTAAGGCCTTGCAAGCTCTTTCCTGGTGTTTGGAATTTATCTTAGGTAATGGGCCACTGCTGCAATTTTTGAACAGAGTGGCATGATGAAAACCAGTGGTTTAGCAGGATGAATCTAGGAGGGTTGATTGAAGTTGAAAGAGACTAGAGGCAGAGAGTAGAGTGTAGGAGACTATTGAAATCCTCCATTGTGAGATGATGAAGCCTTAAGTTAGGGCCTTGGTAACATTATAGATCAGAAGTGTCATGCCCCAAGTCCTGCAACCAGATTAAAATGCAATTGGGATATGTTTAACAAAATAAATAAAAGTACAGTACAACATAAATAATGTTAATTTGTGGTTTTCTAACCAGAATGTCATTCAGAAATTTGACACCACTTGTCTGTGTGACAGCTGCAAAGCCAGCACTTTTATCTATCTAGTATCAAATCCTACTCCAATTAGTATATATAAAAATCTGATCTAAAGAACAGTCTTTAAAAAACAGTGTTCTGCCTATAATAATAATTGTGGGGTTTGTATTTTTATTTGGGGAGAAGACATAGTAGGATACCATATCTTGCTCAATAAAATGATTTCTTTTATTGGACAGACTATTGAACTGATAAAAATATACATTCTGGCTTTTTCTCTTGTAATAATTAATTGCTTCCCCTTTAAAAGTCGAGTTGGCGATTCTCCAATAGCAGGAGCAGGGTCTTACGCTGATAGCACGGCTGGAGGGGCTGCTGCCACCGGAGATGGTGACATCATGATGCGCTTTTTACCCAGGTATGCTTCTTGGTACCATACTTAAGTTAGAGTTATTGTTGGTTAGCATCACTATCATAACTGGTTTTTTTTTTTCTTGTATCATGTTGGGGTGTTTTCTTAACTGAATGTGCCTGCACAGAGGTTTGTGAACTTGCCTTTGAACTGTCTGTGCAGAGTTGTTTTGTCTCTGGCTCTGTAGACTTACTAGCTTGTATTCCCATTAATGACCATTATTGTCATCAAAAGTATTTATGACTTGTCCTCCTGGGGTAGGGTAACATTTTACCTAATTTACAGATGAGGAAACGTAAGTACTGTTTAAGTAATTTGCCCAAGGTCACTCAGCCAGTCAGTAAAAAGACAGTGATTATTGATGGCAGAAGGGGGAAATGCAGTCATTGTATACGAGTAATTGCTGAAAGGTGGTCATTATGACTGGACATTGTGCACACTAACGGCATTTTGCACTTCAACTATAACAGCATTTTTCTTTTAAATGGGATCTCCACGCTTTATGACTTCTAGCTATAGTGACCTAGCTGACACAGTTATTCAGCTATAACAAAAAGAATTCATTTGTCTTTTATTTAAAATTAATTGGTGGATTAGTTGGGAAGATGGTTATTGCATCAAAGCTGATTTTTTAACTGAGCCAACTTATTTACTTGTATCATTGCATTCATTCTACTGAATATGATAACTTTTAAAGCAGCTTGAAGTGTATAATTTCAGGTATGCTAATTTTAGTGCATTATTTATTCAAACAGAGTGGTATAGTGGAAAGATTGTTGCATTTGGAATCAAAGGACTTGGGTTTGAATTCTAATTCTAATATGAACTATGTGATATTAGGCAAATCATTTAACTTCCCTGGGTCTCAGTTTCCTCAGCTGTAAGAAAGAGAATGTTGTACTAGATGCCCTCTTGGGTTCATTCCAGCCCTAAATGATCCTAGCTCATGGTGGTCCCTATTCATATATCTGTGGTCCTGATGTATTAAAGTTTATTCATATTGAAAGCCAGGGAATCTTAACCTGGGAGTCTGTGGATGCTCATAGGGTCCATGGACTAATCAGTGAACTGAAATGGGCAAAAAATTACACCTCTGTTTTCACTAACCTTTGGTTTCATTCTAGTCCTATGCATTTTATTTCGTGCATTTAAATACATTTTTCTGAGAAGGATTCATATGTTTCATCAGCCTGCTCAAGAGGGTCCTGATATAAATGTTAAGAATTTCTGTTCTAGACCTTGTCATTAACTTTATTTTTTTTTAACCAGTTACCAAGCAGTAGAATATATGAGAAAAGGAGATGATCCAACTCTAGCCTGCCGGAAAGTTATTTCCAGAATCCAGAAATATTATCCTGAGTTCTTTGGGGCTGTTATATGCGCCAATACAACTGGAAGTTATGGTGAGTTATATTTGATAAGTGTGTTTGCAGATTTTTGTGATGATACACCTAGCATTAAATTGCACTGTTTTTGTTAGCTTTGTACAGGATATAAAATATACATAACACCCTGTATGTTCAGTAAATGTTTGTTAGCAATGGTATAGATTACTTTAAGTATCCAAAGGAAACCTGCACATCAACCTTACAAGTATACTAGTAAGCCAGACCTTAGCAGGCTGCATCATGGTTCTGCCCTGGTTTTGGCCACAAGCTCCACCCTCTTATTTATGTTCCACATTTTTACTTCTTACTTCTATCTGTTTTATTAAGAGAATGGGCTGATCTATATACACTCTCTTTCCTTCTTCATTTTTTACCATTCCTCTAAATGTCACAGCTCCCTAAGTGGTCTTACTTTGGTCTTCAAGGTGCACGAGGCTGTCCTTTTATTAAGTATTTCTAATGTGTAAGCATAGGAATAGACAGGAGAATTATTTTTGCATTTTACTGTATATATATCTTTTGCTTCATCTGCCTTCTTTATAAACCTATCACAGCTTCAAAGCACTTTGAGATCAACCACTGTGCTGGTGCTCATTAGTGAATTTTTAGATCACTAAAAAATACAACTTACTAATCAATGTGTCATATTAGCTTAGACTGCTTATTGTAGCTCTTTGATCTTTTCCTTCCCACAGTTCTCTAACTTGAAAAACTTGAATTTGAGGAATTTGTTTTTCCTTTCCAAGTATTAAGATAAATATTAAATATAAATGAGAAAAGAGGGACTTGAAGTAGAAAATATCAGTGTCATTGAATTTCTTCAACAAGTAAAAAGCTTCTTAGAAGTCCCAAAGATGAATTTAATAGAATATAACAATGATAATTAAGTAATTATAGATTAATTTAAAATTGATTTGTTGGATAAAACTAAGAACAGTTTCTTGCATTTTAAGGACTTTTATTCAAGCAGTGATAATGACAGGGGATCTGAGTCTAGGTAGTAGAACAGAGGAAAGAGGAGTGATCAGAAGGAAAGAAATCCAAGGGGGCAGCTAGACTAGTGAGATGAAAGCCGTCACTTAGCAAAGGACCAGATGCCCATGCTCTGAGGAAATGATGGAGGGTGGAAAATGATTCTGGTTGACCTCTGGCCTATAGGAATAGTATTAATAACCTTCTACTTCCATCCTTTTTTTGGTTAAAGGTAAGATAATGAAAGCAGCAGGTGTATAAAATAAGTGTCCAGTGAGTATCCTAAAGCTGATAGGGAGAGCCTACCTGTCACTTTGGTCCTCAGTCTCTGGGATTTTTAATGCCCTGTAAGAATTAAGCAGATACTCCAGGGTTTTGATAAGACTTGGGTAGAGTCAGGGCATAAAACAAACATTGAACCTTAACCGAGAAAAGTCCTCAGGTGAATAAATAGCATGTTTATTTATGTATTTGTCTTTATTTATTTATATAAATTTATTTACATAAATGCAGTATAGTATTGGAGAAAGAGCATTGGTTCTGGAGTTACAGGACCTGCATTCACCTTCCGATTCCTGTGCTTTTACTGCCTGGGTGACCTTGGGTAATTTACTCATCTTTAAGATGAGGAACTAAATTAGATGACATCTGAGTTCTCTTCCAGCTCTAGATCTAGGCTTCTATATTCATAATTGTAAAATAAATATAATTACTATCCACCGACACATATCTTCGTCTCTTTCTCTCTCTTTCTCCTGTTCCAGGTGCCGCCTGCAACAAACTTCCAGAGTTTTCTCAGTTTCATTTCATGATTTATCATCCTCTGCAAAGTCAGCCAATTGAAGAAAAAGTAGACTGCATTTAATCCTTTTCTGTCAACATCTCTATTTAAAAGATGAAGGAAGAAACAAAGGCTGTAAAGGTTCACTAGCTGCCACTTTTGAACATGTTCCTGCTCTGTACCACATACATTCCTTTGTGTCAGTATGAGCGTCAGAGTAAATTTGGGCTGACATGACACTCTCCACCTTCTCCATTTGAATTTTATTTACCATATCAAAATGTTGTCTAAACTCTCTTGCTTTCTCAGAACATGAGAAGATACATATGGGTCATTTGATCTTGGAATTTTTTCTTCTGGAGTTTAATGAAGTTAATACATTGATATGGTACAGTTGAGAGATGATCACTGTCTTTGGAGTCAGAAGACTTGGGTTCAGATCTTAGTTCTGCTGTTTACTACCTGTGTCACTTTGGACAAATCACTTAACTTGTCTGAGCCTCAGTTTCTCCCCCCTTTGTAAAATAAGGATTAGATGGCCTTTAAGGCAGTAGTTATTAACCTGAAATCCATAAATGGAGAAAGCGAAAAGGATAGGTAACTATTGTAATTAATTGATTTCCACTGTAATCCTAAATATTTTTATCTTATGCATTTAAAAACATTATTCGGAGAAGGAGGCCGTAGGCTTGGCTAGACTGCTGGGGGCATCCATTTGAAAAAAGTGTTGAGAACCCCTGTTCTAACGTCCCGTCAGGTCTAAATCTTTAATTCTTTGAGTGTTCAGACTATTATCATTGAATTGTTTTTTTAGGAAACTTCTTGCTACCCCCTTAAAAAATAAAACAAACCCACAAATGTCTCTGTACATGCATTCTCTTTGAAATATTCAAGTATTTTAGTTGAGGAGCCAAAATGAGGCATGGCATGATTAGTCATGATTGAATTTCTGAATGTTACAGTGATTTATCCTTTATCACTGATCATTGTTCTTCTCGTATCTAGCTTTAGCATCTGCCTTCTGGCAACTTGGAAGGGGAGGATTTCAGCATAGCATCTCATTTCCCTTCCATTTCTGCTCTTCCCCTAATACTCTAGATGCTTTTGTGTGTGTAATGGGAAATGTGGGCAGTGTGCTGATGAGCGGTTTTATTGATTAACTTGCTCTGTGTCCATCTGAAGGAGCCCTTGTGGTGGATAGACAGGGTTCTCAAACCATGTTTCCATTATTATCTTTTACCAGCTTGCTGCATTTCTAATAGCAGAAGTCCATATTGCAAGTGTTTTAATTTGGGAAACGTGATCTGTGATTGAATTTCCCCATTCCTTGTGGGTTCTCTTCTTCCACTCCCACCTCCAGCACCACTACCTTTAGGCGTGGGACACTGACTGTAGACATCCTTTGTCTAGCCTGATGTGTGTGTAATCTCTCCTGAGTGGTATTCTGGAATCCTTCAGGTTCACACTCAGTGGTAATTTTAGAAATTGTTAATACAAGTTACCTATTAGCTGGCACTCCGTTTTCTTAGCATATTAACTTTTACTGTTCTGTAGATTTAGGGTGAGAAGTTTATGGTTTTCAACTTCGTGTAGACAACTAAGAATTTGAGTTTTGAGGCCAGCCATAGAAAAATGCCACAACTTCACACTTATCATAAGTCATATGTTGTAACCAGCCCTTAACGGCTCCTGTGATGTGCAGTACGCTTGAGTTTGTGCAAAGGGTGCCTTAAAGTGTGTTTTTCAAAGCAATGTTAGTTTTCCTTCTTTGCTATAAAAATAATAACAGTTCATATTTATATGCTACTTTACAGTCTACAACATGCTTTCCTTACAGCAGGGAGGCGGCAGAGCCTAGTGGATAGAGTGTTAACCTTGAAACCAGGAAAGCTTGGGTCTGTGTCCTTCCTATCTCTGGTATATTAAGGCTTTGTGAGCCTGGGCAAGTCCCTCCATCTCTCTGTGTTCTGGGCAACTCTCTAAGACTAAGTTGTACACCATGTGTGATTCTGCACAAATAAAGGGATTCACTTTACCTAGAAATTCCCTATGCTAATGAAACCATAGATCCCCATCATACTTACATAGTTTCAATGTCTGTGCTGCTTAAACCTAACCCATTTATAAGACTGAGGGATTTGGGTTGAGTTCTGATAATATCTCCAGTCAAAGAGACTTTCATCAGATTTACCAGTCAAATGAAATAATACATGCAAAGTGCTTTGCAAACCTTGAAAGATCTGTGTAAATACTAGCTATTTTTATTAAGTGCCTAGGTGTGTGTGTGTGATGTGCTGGGTATGTGGTTTTCTCCCCTTCTGTCTGATTTTATTGCTAACATAATATAGCCTAGAAGACGCTCAGCAGGCTATAAATTTGATGAGTAGATCGTAGGGACACGCTAGTGGCTCATTTCCTGTTAAAATAGTTCTTAGCATTGCTAGCCATATAGGATTAATTACACCTTACACCTGGGCCACTGAAAAACACTTCACAGTTAAATGTCCTTCTGAAGATAGGATACAAAGCATCTGAAGATTCCCAGAGGGACTCTTGACAATGTTTAGACCACAAATTAGATGTTTGTGATTCTTAATCTAGTCTAACCAGAAGGCTACATTCTTTCCGACTTTGTAAGCCTTAACACTTATTTGCAAATTCATTAGCATTCAAAATGCAGGGAGTATGCTAGGTTCTTGCTTGTCCTAAATCAGTTTAATGGCTTCTGGGCCTAGATGGACAGGGAGTGGTTTCTGTTTCCAGTATTAGCATCCAAGCTCTCACCATGATAACTGAGACTCACTCAGAACTAGTTTTCTTGTGTTACTGGTTTTTTTTTTTTAATTACAGAAAGCGAGCAGCAATCTGTGACTCTTGCTAATCTAAATAATCTGTTCTTTATCATTATCATTTCTGCATGTCCTTCTTTGCTTCAAGAATTACTTGGTACAATTGTTTCCAGATTTTAATTGCTCTATTAAAAGTGGGGTAACGAGATATGGAGAGTAGTCTTTTTTTTTAAGGTTATAGTATTAAAACAAGCCCTCTAAGCACCTTGAGTGGACTCCTTGTGGTGAAATTTGGGGAAAGATGCAGATGAGTCACTGTATTAATAATAGCTAGCATGTGTACTTTAAGGTTTGCAAAGCATTTCCAAATATTTTATCCTCAGCAGGTCTGGAAGATAGGTGCTTTTATCACCATTTTGCAGATGAGAAAACTGAGGCAAACAGAAGTTAAATGACCTGCGCAGGCTAGTATATGTCTGTGACTGGATAAGGACTCAGATCTTCCTCACTCTAGGCCCAGCACTATCCACTGTACCACCTAGCTGCCTAAAAGAGGGACATGCATCAGTGCATTGTGAAATGCAGCATTGGAGGAAACGCCCAAATCAATGACCACATTCATTTGAAATCAGTGTTAAATTGTCAATATTTAAAGAATATTATATTCCAACAATAATAAGCCACACACTAAAAAATAAACCACTTTAAAGAATGAGGAAGGGGAGGGAGGAACATGGTAATGAAATATAGCTGATTAAATTGACAAAATCATAGAATATCTGTCCCTTTAAATCTATAAGAGTTACATGAAAACCAAAGAAAATATTGCAAATCCAAAGAAAGAGGATTGGAATCTTAAAACAGACCAAAAGAGGAAAGGGGGGGATGGGGAATATTTACAGTCATATAGGTTATATGCAAAATAGATACAAAGTGAAGGGGGTGGGCAGAGGTGTTGCCACTAAAGACTGGGGGAATTCAGGAAAGGTTTCTTGAAGGAGGCAGCACATGATGAGCTGATCCATGAGTTCCAAGAGGAAGTGATGAGAAGGGAAAGCATTCCAGGCATGAGGAGGGATGGAATGTCATGTATGGGGATCAGTAAATAGGTCATTCTGGCTGCAGTGTTGATCACATGACGGAGAATAATATGTAATCAGCCTGGAAAGGTTGGCTGGAACCAGATTGTGACAGATACCAAAACAAAGGAGTTTGTACGTTATGCTAGGGCTAATAGTGAGCTACTGGAATTTCTTGAAAACGGATGTGGTCAGACCAGTGCTTTGGCAATATAACTCAGCAGCTATGTTGGAGGATGGATAGTCAGGGAAAGAGATGTGAGAAGGAACCTATCCAGGCTGATTCTTTCATCCTCTTCAGCTCTCAGTTTCTTCCTTTTGTCTAAAACCGGGTTTCTGAACCTTTTGGGGATCATGGACCCCTTTGGCAAGCTAGTGAAGCTTTTGGGTCCCTTCTTAGAATAATGCTTTAAAGTGCATGAAATAAAATATATAGAATTAAAAAGGAAAGCAGTTATTTTGAAAAAAAAATTTTTTTAAAGCTTTCAAGGACTCCAGGTTAAGAATCTCTTGGCTTAGTTCTATTCTCATCCGTGGAAGTTAACAATATTGGAGCTGGCAAATGTGTGTGTGTGTATATTAAAGGGGAGGGGAGGAGAGGGAGAAAGACAGCAAGAGAATGAACTTATTTTATCTGTTAAAGAAACAATTTTTGAGAAATTAACATTGAATATAGTGATTTCTCTCTGGGTTTTAGAAAATGCTAAATGTCTTACACTTTTAATATTTGAGGGTTTTTTTTATCTTTGATTTTCTAATGTGCCTTAGGGTCTGATATCAATCAATTAGATTAAGAGCTGAGAACTTAATTGGATTCATCTAATAACTCCGATATTTTAATTAACTGTTTATTTGAATAAAACAACTATTGGGTGACATAAATATATCTTAATCAAAAACTAATTGTGAAGGTAGATTAAGATATATTTTTCATCCTACATGTGGTACATTGAGTTTACCTGTGTAAAAAAAAAAAAATTAAGCTTCTTAGAAACTTTATTTAAAAGCTGCAAAGCAAAGGTTTAATTTTCTTTTTTTACTCTTACCTGTGCTATCAACTATTTCATTGCTCAAGTACTATTGAACATACTTTTCTGTCTTTATAATAGGTTAAAAAAAAAAAAGCATGAGCTAATAAGGGCTACCAAAAAAAAGTGTGCCTGGTTGATTTGCGGTTAATATGCTCTATTCCACCAAGCAGAGTCTAGACAGATTTAGAAAACCATTTTTCTACAGTGCCAGTTGATAAATGCTTCCATATACAACTGAGGGTCAGCAAGGAAAGGAATGCTATAATTCAGTGTTTAGAAAATGCATGCTCATTTGAAGGGGAAAATAATTGCCACATTCAAAGTGGGTATAATGGAAGTTAAAGC